TAAATTATTATTTCCTTTATTAGTTAATAATATTTGCAAATCTTAATACTAATAAACTTATCTACTATTTATATTTTTAAAATAATAATTTAATAAGCAAATGTTTAGTATGATAGTTACATTCTAGTTTAATATTACAGTATCATATAGTTATCTAATTAGAAAGATTTATTGATGATACTATCTTACAAAACCAAAGATATTTCTTATTATATCAATATTAATCTATTATTATTTTATATTATACAACAAAATAATTCCATGTGTTACAATCAATATTACACAAATTGATATTATTAAATTTTAAAAAATTTTGTTATCGTACTTTCGTAAATCTATTCAGACAACTTGTTAATTTTGAATTTATATATAATATAACTTGAGCGACAATATTAATATATAGAATTTTTTTTGTACTATTAATATACTAATTTAGCCTCTACTAAGACCAAAACTTCATTCTTTAAAATTTATCTATTTTAAGATCCTTATTTAAACCTTTAAATTTTATTGAATATTAAGTCACGAATAGGCATTTTTTATGCATAATTACTAAATTTAATTAAAAGTTTCCATATTATACCTTGAATTTCATGTATATTTATTTCATATTTTTTTTTATTATAATAATAGTACTTAATTCTCTGTGTATTCTAATTAGAAAGTTTTGATTTGACTTCTTCAACAAGTTGATCTGTTAATTCAGGGCTTGCCAAAGTAGATTTAAATATTTTTTCTTCTTCAGTAGTAATTCGTCGTTTATTAGAAGATATAAATGTTGTAGATAATTCAGAATATGTTGAGGTTAGGTTATTTGTAGTTTTTAATCGTTTAATTATACTTTGAAGTAAATTTGTCTTGTTTTGGTTATTTACTTTTCTTTTTTATTTTTTATTTTTTTGTAAGTTATCATTTAATTGTTTAATTTCATCATACTTATATTTTACTATTTCAAGTTTTCACTGTCCTGTAGTATTATGATTTTCAGTACCAAAAATATCTTGTCGTAATATTGTTTTAGATCTTTTGAATCTATTTTCATATGCAGTAAATAATCGTTCATATCCTTCATTATATAATTCTTGTGCTAAAGCAAATAAATAATACTCTTTTAGATTAGATATTTCAAAAGCATCTAGCAAATCATTAATAAGTTTCCATAATTTTTCTTTTTGATCTTGAATAGAATGATCATTACAACTTTCAGTATAGTCAGATTATTTAACAATCAAGATTAAACATAATATATATCAAATATCAGAAATCTAAAATCTTAATGA